GGGGAGCCGGGGGAGCCCTGGGGGGCGCAGCGTCTCCGGCTGCCCGGCTGGGACGCCGGCTGGGCTCGCGGGGCAGACGGGGTGGGAGGGCTGAGTAACCTGCGCGGTCGCGCCGGCGGCTGGGAGGGGACGTCTCTTTGGGAAGACGGGGGTTGTGTTCAGCCGTTTCGCCTTCTCTACTGCTGTGGCTCTCTTCTTAAAAATGATCTTACTTCCTGGGTATTGTCATTCATTCATTTCTGTTCTAAGCTCTTCATTGTTTTTCCGTGGAAATTCGCCCCTGGCTAATGCGTGATACCCTGCCTGGCTTTTTACTTTGTTGATCTTCCCACTTTCCTTTCTTGTTTTTTTTTTTAAAGCTCCGACTCAACAGTATTAAAAAGTTGTCAACAATTGCCCTGGCACTTGGAGTAGAAAGGACTCGAACCGAACTGCTGCCCTTCCTTACAGGTAAGCGTGTTTGTTTGGAGCATCATTAAATCCTGAAGCGAGGATTGCTGTGCAAAAGGGACAGAACGAAGCGTGCAGTAAGGTTGCAGCTGGGTGTATTTGAACATTAACCAGTTAGCAGACTGGAAAGTAAACTGATGCAGGAGTATGAATTTCTAATTAATCCTGCTGCTTGAGAAGGAGGAAAATGTGGTTAGGATTGGGAATGTCCCTCTTACTGTGTACTCTGTTCCAACTGAGGGGTGAGTGTGCAGCTCAAGGCCGCCTGTCCTTATTGATGAGTACCCAGTTGTTGTCATTTCCAGATACAATTTATGATGAAGATGAAGTGTTGTTAGCTCTTGCTGAGCAACTGGGAAATTTCACTGGCCTGGTGGGAGGTCCTGACTTTGCCCACTGTCTGCTGGTGAGTACCTGTCCACTGTCTACACTTCTAGAACTTTTATAGTGTAAATGACACATTCTTTGGTGAGAAACACAGTACAGCATTTTTTTCTGCAGATCTTTTTATGGATAGGTAGTCATAATGCTAGCAGTCAAAAATGAATAATGTAAGTACTTTGAACTCAACCTTTGTTATTTCTTCTGACTGAATAGAAGAACTTCTTTCTTTTCTGCACAGTAACCTACTAGTTCAGAGGTCGGAGGGAAAGGATGTGATTATTTTTATGGTTTTTTCCCTCTGAAATTGGAAGTCTTTATTTGTTGTTGATGTTTTTTGAGACAGGGTCTCGCTCTGTAATTCAGGCTATCCTTGAACTCTGTGTGTAGCCCAGAGTGGCCTTGAACTTGTGACAATCCTCCTGCCTCAGTCTTCCAACTGCTGGGCTTACAGGTGTACTCTATCACACCTGGCTTTGAAATTGGAAGTCTTTTTTTTTTTTAAAGAGAAAAAAATAAAAATTTGAAAACAAAATAATAGGAGGGTAACAATGGTTAGTACATTGAATGTTGTTATCTTTAGTTACTCAGAGAACAAGATACAGGCATTGAATTGTCCAAACAACATTAGCCCAAACTTTTCTTTTTAGTTAAGAGAAATTAGTAGTATAACTGTCTTAACTGTCGTGTGTATTTGTGTATGTGTGTGTATATATATATTTTTTTCTTTTCTCTTCCTCCTTTTCTCCTTTGCCCCATCCCAGTTTCTCTTTTCTTTTGACCAGTTTCTTCCCGTTTTATAATATCTAGTGTACATTTTAGATCTTACTTAGTATTTCAGCTTCTCACACTAGGGAGACAATACATTGTTTGCACATGTGCATCTGGTTTATTTCATTCATGAGTATGGTCTGTAGTTGGCGTCCATTTACTTATAAAAGTCTCCAGTTAATCCTTTATGGCTGAGTAGTACTTCATAGTATGAAAAGACCACATCATTTATCCACTCCTCAGTTGATGGGCATTTGGTTTGTTTCCAGAACTTAGCTCCTACAAATTGTGTTGCTCTAAACATTGGTGCACATATATCACTGTGATAGGATGTTTTTAATTCTTCTGGGAAGGTACCCAGAGTGGTTAGCTGGGTCAAATGGGACCTCCACTCCTAGTGTTTTGAGGAATCTACACTGATTTCCACAGTGGTTGCACCAGCCTACACTCCCATCAGCAGTGGAGAAGTGTTTCTTTTTCCCCACAGCCCTTCCAACATTTGTTATTGGTTGATTTCTTGATAATAGCTATTCTTTCTGGGGTGAGATGGAATCTCAGTGTTGTTTTAATTTGCATCTCTCAAGTGACTAGTGATGTTGAACATTTTCTCATAAATTTATTTGCTGTTTGTATTTCTTTATCCAAGAAGTGTGTAATTCATCTCAGATGCCCATTTTTGGATTGGGTCTTTAAATTTGGGAGTTCTTAGATTTTTTGAGTCCTTCATATGTTCTTAGTAGTAATCCTTTGAGGAACAGCGGGCAAACATTTTTCCCCACATTGTGGGTTGTCTCTACCCTTTTGTTGGTGGTTTCTCTTGCTGTGCAAAAGCTGTTTAATAAGATGACATATTAGTTGTTGATTCTTTGTGATAGTTCCTCTATGATCAGAGTTTTATTCATGCAGTCTTTGCCTATATCAGTGTCTTCAAGAGTTTCACCTATTCTGTCTTCCAGAAGATTTAATGTTTCTGCTTTAACATTTAGATTTTTGATCCATTTGGAATTTAATTTAGTGCATGGTGAAAGATATGGGTCCAGTTTTAATCTTCAGTGTGTGCAGAGCCAGTTTTCCCAGCACCATTTATTAAAGAAGCTATCTGAAATTGGAAGTCTTAATTCTCTTCTAGTAATATTTTCTCTTTGTCCATCTTTTGCACCTGACTAATCTTTGTGAATTTAATGAGTTGACTGTATCAGGCACATTGTAAGTTACTATATTAATGTTTAAGAAGACCAGTGTGCATGGGTTGAGGTCTCTTGCCTTTTTGTGTAACAAGTAAATTGTTGATGCTTCAGTGGAAAAATATAAACACATACAAATCCCCCAAATAATGGAGAGCAGAAAGGGATTAATTTAGGGTGATCAGGGAAGATGACATTAGAACTAGGTTTTAAAGGATGCCTAAGAATTCACCATTTAGAGCCGAGGAAATAGCTCAGCGGCATAAGCACCTGCCTGGCAAGTGCAAGGTCCTGAGTTCGATTCCTGGTAACAAAACAAAACAAAACAAAAAAATTCACCAGTTGGGCAAGGTAGGGTATGTGCTTCAAGACTTTTCATAGTGATGATGCTGGCTTTCATCATTTCCCTACCACAATCTGTTCTGTGCAACTCCAGGGATGTATGGATAAATATGTATACATACGTATAGAGCAGTAGTTTAGGTAGTTTCTATGTATATTTCATGTTAAGTTTTTCTGATTGTGATTTTTCCTGCTTGGATTTCAAGCAGGCATTTCTTTTTCTTTTTCTTTTTCTTTTTTTTTTTTTTTTTTTTTTAAGGCATTTCAAATTTAACATGCCTAAAACTTTCCTTAAAATATTCCTTTCATGTAGTTGTGTCACTGTCTAGCTAGTTACTCAAGCCAGTGCCTAGAATCTTTTTTTTCCCCCCTGCTCTCTGGGGATTGAATTCAAGGTCTCCCACATGCTAGGCAAGCATAGTACCAGTGGGCTGCATCCCTGGTCCTAGAAGATATTTTTGAGTCCTTCTCCACTCCTTCCTTACACTCCTCCTTCCTATTAGTAGCTTCTAGATAGTTTACATACATACCAGATCTCTTTCCTTCATCCCTACTACTACTGCTCTAGATTAAACCTCATAACCTTTTTTCTCTAGGTTATTCTTGTAGCTTCCTAACTACGGGCGTTCAATTTAGTTTAGTTTAGGTTTTTTTTTTTTTTCTTTTTTTTTTTTTCCTTTGGTGGTCGGGAGTCTCACTGTGTAGTTCAGGCTGGCCCTGAGTTCATTTTGTAGCCCAGGCTGGCCTTGAACTCGAAGTGATCCTTCTGCCTCAGTCTCCCATGTTCTGGCATTGCAGGCACAATCACCACACCGGGTTTAGATAGTCAGTTTAGGGTTTGTTCACTTTATGATGCTGAAAAAGGATATATGTATTCAATAGAAACCGTATGTTTAGAATTTTGATCTTTTCCCAGGCTAGCAAACTCAGTACAGTACTCATATGCTGCCCAGCATTGACAGCAAGTTGCAGCTCTCAGCCACATGATCACAAGGGTGAACAACTGATACTACTCACATACTGCATGGCTAACCTGATGTTTGTAGGTTATGTGTAGTCAGTGCATTTTTGACTTATGATAGCTTTATTGGGATGTACTGTAATTCTGGAGATTTAGTGGCATCTGTAGTTGCCTCCCTCTCCTACAGTTCACTCTTTACTCAACAGAGGAATCCTCCCTACTATGGCTCCTTGAAAATTCAGACTGTACCTTGTCATAAGACCTTGCTGTGACCTGCCTCTAGAGGTTCATCACACATCACTTTCTGCACTGAGAACTTTTTCCATTTCCAGTCTTCTTTCTGTTCTTTGGGTAAGCCAAACTCAATGCCTTAAGACATTTGCTGTAGGTGTTATTTCTTTTTTTTTTTTTGTAGGTGTTATTTCTAATGAAATGCTATTTTGAAGCTTTCTGTCTTGGGCGTCATGTCACAACTACTTCAGCTCGTCGTCTGAGGCCTTCTCTGTCCACCCAACTTGAAATAGCCTCATAGTCACTCCTTATCACCTAATCTTGTTCTGTTTGTCTACCAAGTACTAGTCACCATGTGCTTGTTGGGTTGATTGCGTCTTTCTCCACTAGAATGTAAACTTCCCCTAGAGGAAGGAACCTTGTTTGTACATTTCTTCTGTATCCTCAGTGTTAGTGTTAGAGCACAGTAATAATCATTTATTAAAAGAGTGAATTTCATAGGCTTGGAACCATGAAACTTGTTTGGTTCAAAAGTGCTGAAGTGCGAAGAATTGGGTCTGGAGTAGGCAGGAGTGGTAATCAAGGACCAGTAGGAAAAGAACATAGAGAAGTAGGCAGAGTTCAGATCAAGAGGCAACTCAGAAGTGATTCTCCAGAATTCTGCTTAAGCTGTAGTAGTGATAGAGGTTATTCAGTGGTATTGCATGGTCAGGCAGGGATTGATAGAAAAATTTTGGCAAGTCAGAAGCAGTATGTTTCAATGGGCTGCTGAAATACCCTCTTGAAAGCTGAGTACTATCTAGCCCTGGTATCAAACAGTTTCTAAAGTATGTTACTTTATTAGACAGGCTCTCTTCTTTCCTTTGAATCATTATCCATGTGTTTTATTCTGTTGGTCAATTCTCATTCGGAGTTTTATGCTTTAGCATGTGCAGCTGATGGCATAATGCTACACTTGATTTTAGCCAAAAGGCTGAGAAGTGATAAAGGCTTAACGCTGAATCTGCCTAGACCAAATGCAAACCTAGAAAGGCAGAGATATAGAGAACCAGCCTGTCTCATTTTACACTGAATTATATTATATTCAATGGCTAATTCTAGTTCAGACCTTCAATCCCTTTGTTCTCTCCTGTTTCTAAAGCTAGAAGTAACGTTTCCTACTATCTTTGTACTCTTCACTTGATGTTCTGTCAAAAACTTGCTCTTTCGTTAAGGGAAAGATTGTCAGTGATTTTGACAGAAAGTAGTTTTGTACTCAGCCTTTTATAGGTTGGATACATTGATGGTGTGGAACAAGTAGACAGGGTTGATCGTACCTTTAGGAATGGTAGAACAGTGCTTAAAAGACTGTGAACCCAGTGACCTGCCAGGATACCATCATATGTAATTTGGTGCATAGCTTTGATTGTATTATTGCACTTATTCTTAAGGAAATACACACACTCCTGTCTCAATTTGGTTTCATATTATTTAAACTTAAGTGATTCAGTTCCCAGTAATAGTAATATTGTGTCAGATCTCTTCTACTGTATCATTTGTAGACACCATCTGGGAATTGCCATCTGGGACATGTATCTTGGCTTTTCTACAGAAGTCATGTCTTTAGGTTGGCCACACCATATGTTATCACTGTGTGAACTGAAAGTAACCATGTGGTATGGTGTAGCTAACATTCTGGCTATGTGTACTGCTTCCCTTTAGTCACATTAAAGGTGACAATCTATCTAACCTGATTCGATAAGTTTTCTTTGGTTTTCCTTTTGATCTCTTCAGCCTCCTTTGGAAAGTCTGGCGACTGTGGAAGAGACCGTTGTTCGAGACAAGGCTGTGGAATCCCTGAGGCAGATCTCCCAGGAGCACACTCCTATTGCTCTGGAAGCTCATTTTGTCCCTCTGGTGAAACGCCTGGCGAGTGGGGATTGGTTTACCTCTCGCACATCTGCATGTGGTTTGTTCAGCGTTTGCTATCCCAGGGCTTCAAATGATGTCAAGGCAGAAATTAGACAGTAAGATATTTTTAGTATTTTTTATTATTCAGGGTTATTGGGGACTCAAGTGACAGTTTCCACTGTACAATACCTTGTTACTAGTGAGTCACTGATACTGGGATAGTGGAATTAATGATAACATTTTCGTTATTCCCTCAAATATATCTGTGTTTTATTTTTGTTACAAACCTAGTCACTGATGTGTGTAAGAGAAAACCTCCAAAGTTTCAGTCTGTATGTGTTGAGGTATGTTAAATCAGAAGTATTTAGCAGAGCATACTCTTGTTTAATGTTGCAGGCATTTCCGTTCCTTGTGCTCAGATGATACACCAATGGTACGACGAGCGGCTGCTTCCAAATTGGGTGAATTTGCAAAAGTTTTGGAATTAGACAGCGTGAAAACTGAAATTGTCCCTTTGTTCACTACTCTAGCTTCAGATGAACAGGTAAATAACTCTTTTTTTGTTGTTGTTGAGGCAGGATCTCACTGTGTAACTCAGCCTGGCTTTGAACTTGCTCATTTAGCCCAGGCTGGACTTGAACTCCTGGGGATCCTCCTGCCTTAGCCTCCGGAGTGCTAGGATTTCAGGTGTGTGCCACTGCACCTGGCTATAACTCCTATATTTAAGTAGTACAAATATGGTCCTCCCCTCTAACATTTTAAGTATATATTTTTTATGGTACTTGGGATTGAAGTCAGAGCCTTTGCACGCTGATCTATATCTTTAGCCCTGTTTTAGACATTTTAAGACAGGGATTTGGTAAGCTCCCCAGGTTGGGCTTGAACTCGTGATCCTTCTGACTCAGTCTCCTGAGAAGCTGGGTGGCATGCCACCACAACCAGCTCATTTTAAACATTTCTTTGGGCATTTTCTATTAGGATCTGTTTTGCAAAATTAATACGTAATTCTGGCCTGATACAACTTATCTCACTGTACTCAAGAAGGGGAAGTCAGAGAGGAAATAGGAGCCATAATTAGAAAGGAAGACCAAAGCTGCATAACATGCCTTTGGAAATTGCAGGCTGTATTGTAACATGATAGAGTAATGTTTCCTGGAATTTTGACTTCAGATAAATATTAGAGCATAGAATACGTTAGGAAAGTTATTTGATCTCTACACTAATGAATGAGATTACTGCATATAATAATTTTTAACTCCCAAGGATCTAGACAGGACTTTCTTTCCTTCCTTTCTTTCTTTTCTTTCTTTTCTTTCTTTCTTTCTTTCTTTCTTTCTTTCTTTCTTTCTTTCTTTCTTTCTTTCTTTCTTTCTTTCTCTTTCTT